CTCATCTGGAGTACTGTGTCCAGTTTTGGGCCCCACACTACAAGAAGGATGTGGAAAAATTGGAGAGAGTCCAGCGGAGGGCAACAAAAATGATTAGGGGTCTGGAGCACATGACTTATGAGGAGAGGCTGAAGGAACTGGGATTGTTTAGTCTGCAGAAGAGAAGAATGAGGGGGGATTTGATAGCTGCTTTCAACTACCTGAAAGGGGGTTCCAAAGAGGATGGATCTAGACTGTTCTCAGTGGTACCTGATGACAGAACAAGGAGTAATGGTCTCAAGTTGCAGTAGGGGAGGTCTAGGGTGGATATTAGGAAACACTATTTCACTAGGAGGGTGGTGAAGCACTGGAATGCGTTACCTAGGGAGGTGGTGGTATCTCCTTCCTTAGAGGTTTTTAAGGCCCGGCTTGACAAAGCCCTGGCTGGGATGATTTAGTTGGGAATTGGTCCTGCTTTGAGCAGGAGGTTGGACTAGATACCTCCTGAGGTCCCTTCCAACCCTGCTGACTGTTCCTGATCACTTTCTTCTCCTCTAAGGGCTTCAGAATTGATTCCTTGAGGACCTGCTCCATGATTTTTCCAGGGACTGAGGTGAGGCTGACTGGCCTGTAGTTCCCCGGATCCTCCTCCTTCCCTTTTTTTAAAAATGGGCACTACATTAGCCTTTTTCCAGTCATACATTAGCCTTTTTCCAGTCATGAGGACTTTAAGCCATGAGGACTCATGTTCAGCCTCATAACTGTCTACATGAACTTATAACCCACAACATAACGATAACAACGATGTTCAGTGCAGCATGAGCCTGCCGAAGACACGCGACATGACAAACTTTGCATTGGATACCCCCCAATCATTTTATAAGGGTGTCACAACCCAATGCCCCCCCCCCCTTAGGGAGTCCCCTGGGAAGGTAGAGCAGCATCGTATATTGCTAACGCTGTTGCAAGCATCGCAAAGCATTTTGGGGAGGGTTAAAGGTGTGTGAGTGGAGAGGGGAAGTTTCCTTTGTAGGTTACACGAGGGCGAGAAGGGGGGGAAGAAGAAGAAAAGAGCAGGGAACGGGTTAACTCAACCATGCAGCTACCAAACTCAGTGCAAAGATAAAACTCTGGCCCCCGCCCAAGTACACTGCGCCCAACTGAGACTTGGCTGACAGCCAAGAAAGACGGGCTTGAATGTGCCCAAGAGGCTGTGAGAAAGAGAAATCCAGCTGCCAGCAGGAAGGAAAACAAAGTCTAGGGGCTGCAGGGATGGAAAACACCGACGAGACAGCGAAAGGGGGAGCCGAGCCTCGTGTCCCTGGGACTGGGCTGTTTCGGGAACGTTGAAGAGGCCACAGAAAGCTGGTTTGGACTGGCACAGGGGGCACCCGGAGCACAGGTCCCCGAACGGAGCACCCCCCCCCCGAGGACTGAAAAGCCTCCTGAGCGCTGGAGCAATTTGGAGAGCAACAGCAGAGCTGGACGACCTGGGCCCAGGACAACGCTCCCGTCCGCTCTTCTCCTGACGCTACTCCCAGACTTGGCCGGTCTGGGTCGTGCGTGTGTGAGTATGAACGTGGGGTAGGGCCCGGGGGCACTACCGCTTTCCTTCTTCCCCTGAGCGACATGGGAGCATTCCCAGCACTCTCCGCTGTGAGTCGACTATTTTATCAAGAATGCTTTAAAATGTAGACCCTTGGTGTGCCCCGTCATCTCCTCCCCAAAAAAGATCCTGTAATCTGTCACAAGGGAACTGGGGTTATTTAGTCTGCAGAAGAGAAGAGTGAGGAGGGATTCGATAGAAGCTTTCAACTACCTGAAGGGGGGTTCCAAAGAGGATGGAGCTCGGCTGTTCTCGGCGGCGGCAGATGACAGAACAAGGAGCAATGGTCTCAAGTTGCAGTGCGGGAGGTCTAGGTTGGATATTAGGAAACACTATTTCACTAGGAGGGTGGTGAAGCACTGGAATGGTTACCTAGGGAGGTGGTGGAATCTCCTTACTTGGAGGTGTTTAACGCCCGGCTTGACAGAGCCCTGGCTGGGATGATTTAGTTGGGGATTGATCCTGCTTTGAGCAGGCGGTTGGACTAGATACCTCCTGAGGTCCCTTCCAACCCTGATATTCTAAGATAAGGATGAAAATGAGGGTGCTGGGGGTTCCCCCGTGGTATAGAGCATCACACTCACCCAGCCAGTCCCCTGTGGCTGGTGCCCCCTAGAGGGGAAAGGCCCCAATCCCCATTCCCCGCCCCCCTGAGCCAGCCAGTCCTCGTCCTGGGGCCGGATGGGAGCCGGTGCCCCCTAGAGGGGACAGGCCCCGTGTCCCATTCCCTGCATCTCTAAGAGGGGTGGGGCCACATCACTTTGCACCGTCGCTCCTCGTACAACCCCCTCCACCCTGTCCAGCGACACCCTGTGCACCAACATGGCCTCCCCATACAGACACAGCTCGTCCTTCATGCCGTACACCTGGAATTGGTCGTCGTGCCGGTACCACAGCCCAGCGGCCAGCACCAGGAAGCCGAAGTAGACGTCGTCCAGCGGGAAGACGGGGATGCGCTCGGAGACCGAGGCCAGGGCCGGAACGCTGGCCCTGGGCATGATGAACCCGCCCCCGGAGGGGAAATCAGGGTACGTGTCCTGGGGGAACAGGGCAGAGGAGACGTGATATTTACCCACTTTGAACACGACTGCTTGGCCCTGCATGTTGCCGTGGATGACGTGGGAGGCGTTAGGGTTAGGCCCAGGTAGCCCACCATAGCGGGGGGGTTCAACAAACACCTCGTCGTCCCCTGGAGGAGGGAAAAGATGCTGAGGAGGGTGCAGCTGGGGGCTGGATGTCCTCGCCAGAGCCCGGGAGAGAACCCGGGAGTCCTGGCTCCCAGCCCCCCCTGCTCTAACCCACCAGCCCCCGCTTCCCTCCCAGAGCCGGGGAGAGACCCCAGGAGTCCTGGCTCCCAGCCCCCCTGCTCCAACCCACCAGCCCCCACTCCCCTCCCAGAGCTGGGGGGAGGACCCAGGCGTCCGGGCTCACCTTTGAAGATGAAATCCGCCTGCCTGCAGTGCGCCCCCACCCAGCGCAGGAAGCAGCGCTCCTTGAGCGACAGATTGGGGTGGCTCTCGCTGAAATCCCACAGCACCACGTCCCCAAACTCCCCGCTCCCCCGGCCCAGCAGGGCCAGGTCCCGGGGGTCGGGGGATACCCCCATGAGGAAGATGGGTCGGACCTGGTAGCCCCTCAGGACCCTGGGCCGGGCCCACGTGCGGCGGGCAGTGGCCCGTCTGGCGCTGGACGCTGGGTGGGATTTCACGGCCAGGAGCAGCAGGGGCGGCCCCGGGGGCCCGGTGCAAACCCCGTCCCCTGGGATCAGCTCCCGGCACCGGTAGCTCTGCAGCTGGGGGAACTCAGCCCGGAAGGCGGCGTAATCCAAGCGGAAGGTGATGGTCCCGTCGCTCAGCTCCACAGGGCCGGGGCCTGGGCCGGCCTGCGGGGTCTGCCTCAATTGGATCCTCACGGTGTGAAAGAGCCCAACCCCCCCCCCCCCCCCCCCCCCCGATCATAATCATCAGCAGCAGCATCCGGGCACCCAAGGGAAAGAAATGCAGACACAAAACAGGCTGTGGTGTGATAAAGAAACAAGTTCACACCATTTATGGGCAGATCAAGACTGAATGTAGGACCCAGGAGTCCTGGCTCCCAGGCCCCCTGCTCTCACCCACTAGCCCCCACTTGCCTCCCAGAGCCGGGGAGAGAACCCAGGAGTCCTGGCTCCCAGCCCCCCTTGCTCTAACCCCACCAGCCCCCAATCCCTTCCCAGAGCCGGGGAGAGAACCCAGGAGTCCTGGCTCCCAGCCCCCCTGCTCTCACCCACCAGGTCGGCCACGTTAGCCAAACCCACCCAGACGAACCTTGAGCGATGCGCAGCAGACGCCAATGTGAACGGCAAGAGGCTACGGTGAGGGGCACAGCAGGGGAGGAGGCCACGTGTGCTGCCCAGGGGGGGAAGGAGGGGCCCCTCCCCTGCAGCTCACTGCTGCTGGGGGGCAGAGGACTGGGGGGGTCCTCCTCTCTGGCCCCAGCCGGGGGCAGCCTGTCTGCACCCCAAACTCCCCCTCCCCGGCCCCGCCTGTGACGCAGTCGGGTTTTATTCATCTTATGTTGCTTGTGAGTCTGACTGTCCTAGACGAATACAGGGTGTGCCTCAGTTTCCCTGTGTGCTGCACCAACACTTCGGGGGTGGGAATTGGGGGTGTGATTTTGCTGAGGCCCTGGGTCAGGTGAGGCTGCCCAGCTGTTTGCACTGGTGTAACCTGAGACACAGGAGGGGGGTGCGACCAGGTGACACCTTTTGCCCAGAAGCGAGACAAGGAAGAGGAGCGAAGAGGGGTGTCAGAGGTGGGGTGGCTAGAGGCTGGCAGTCTGCGTGGGGGGACTGGAAGAAGGGGGAATCCGGGGCGTCTGGGCCAGGACTCCCCAAGATGGGCTTGGCTGAAAGTCACTGATTTCTGTACTAACGAGCTCTGCCCTACGCCGTGATCCTGTCGACTAATAAACCTTTTGTTCTCCCGGCTGGCTGAGAGTCATGTCTGACTGCGGAGTTGGGGGGCAGGGCCCTCTGGCTCCCCCAGGACCCCGCCCGGGTCCTTATTTACTTTCTCCACACCCGTCATGATTTTATAGATCTCTATCCCATCCCTCCTTAGTCGTTTCTTTTCCAAGCTGAAAAGTCCCAGTCTGATTAATCTCTCCTCACACGACAGCCGTTCCAGACCCCGAATCAGTTTTGTTGCCCTTTTCTGTGCCTTTCGCAATCCCAATCTATCTTTTTGGAGACGGGCCGGCCACATCTGCCCGCAGGATGTCTCTAATGTCCGGTCACTGAAGGGAGCCAGCGGCCGTTGTCCCGGACTCGAGAGGTGTGCGTGTCACCTCCATTTCGATCAAGTGAATTGCAACGATATTGTGTGGGGACTTTTTCCCGACCCCAGGCACCCTGACGGGGAACAGACCAGGCGTCATGGATTGGCCGCTTATTACTCGATACCGTCTCAGACTCGAGGTAAGGATTTTGGACGTTCTGGCCCCACTGTTTGAATCTCATCCATTGTGGGTTCAGACAAGAGCACGGTCGCTTGGATCAATCTCTCCCCAACCGGAGGGGTTGTGTTCCCACTGATTTCTTCTGCACTTGGCCGGGAGGGAAGCAGTGACATGACCCCCGCTTTGGGGTGTTGGGGCGCAGGGGAAAATCAACGCCGGACCAGACCCTGTCCAGATACGGCGTCTCCGTCGCTTGCCAGAAGTTCACTGAAAACCGTTTTTTCAACCTTTTCCCGCGTGCGTTTGCCAGGGGACGCCGGAGCCCCAACCCCGGAGCCTCATGTAACAGGGCGAAATGTCGGGCACATTGATCGGAGTTACTGTCTTTGAAGGAACCGCAGGACACCTGGGTTCTCTCCCCGGCTCTGGTGGTTAGAGTGGGGGGGGGCGGCGCCCTGGGAGCCAGGATTCCTGGGTTCTGAGCCATCTGCACTGTCCTCAGCGTATTTTCCCTGCTCCAGGGGACGACGAGGAGTTTGTGAACCCCCCTGCTATAGTGGCCTACCTGAGCCAGACGCCCAACGCCTCCCACGTCATCCACGGCTACATTCGCAACCATTCGGCCGTGATGAGAAGCACGAAATATCGTGTCTCCTCCACCCTGTTCCCCCAGGACACGTACCCCGACTTCCCCTCCGGGGGCGGGTTCCTCATGCCCAGGGCCAGTGTCCCGGCCCTGGTCACGACCTCTGAGCACATCCCCGTCTTCCCGCTGGACGACGTCTACTTCGGCTTCCTGGTGCTGGCCGCCGGGCTGCGGTACCGGCACGACAACAGATTCCGGGTGTACGGCGTGCGGGACGAGCTGTGTCTGTACGCGGAGGCCTTCGTGGTGCACGGGGTGTCGCTGGGCAGGGTGGAGGTGGTGAGGAGGGGGTTGTACAAGGAGCGACGGTGCAACGTGACGGGGCCTCTCCCCTCTTAGGGGTGCAGGGAATGGGGCAGGGGCCTGTCCCCTCTAGGGGGCACCGGCTCCCATCCGGCCCCAGGGCAGGGACTGGCTGGCTCAGGGGGGCGGGGAATGGGGCACGGAGGCTTTTGCCAACTATCTGGATTAAATTTGATTACTTGTGCCCTACTTTTGACTAGTTATTGTCGGGGTTCAGAGTTTGCTGGGGGGGGGGGGTGTCTCATAATTCTGGGAATTAAGCACAGGGCCCCCGTATCCCCCACTCCCCTGGGTCACCCCACTGCTGTCAAGAAAGATTTTAACAGCAGCCATCATTAGGTTTCAGAGTTAACACTCCCAAACTAACAGACTCATCCGTGTGTGTGTGGTCAGCGTGACTAGAGCTCTGTGCCTCGGTGCGCAAAGGCAATGCCAGTAGGTGGCGCTGCCTACTGGAAACGGGGAGGTGGGGAGCCGAGGAGGGCTCCATTGCAAAGCCCCCAAATGCTGCGCAGCTGTGGCAAAGGGAAGCGGAGTCAAGGTAGAAACATGGCACTGTTCACTCTAGTCCCTAATGATGGCTGATTTGAAGTGTCAGGGCAGATAAGGAATTTGAGGCATAAAATCCACCCCCTTCATACAGAACAAAGCTACCTCCCCCCCCCCCCGCCCCTGACCCCGTTGCTAAGCGACACATGCTATCCAGCTGGCGGTTACATCCAGGTATTTATTGAAATCGAGTTGGGACCGACAAGGTGAAATGTACAAACAGTCGGCGGTGGGGGTGAGGTGGGGAATTCGGTGGCGGAGACTCGTATAAAAAACCCGGGGGGGTGGGGGAGTGAGAGGGGCAGTTTGTGGGGAACAGGGCGGGGCTTAAAACAAGGGGTGGGGCCGTCTCACTCAGAAGAAATCCACGTCTTCGGGGGCGTCCAGGTCTCTGTACTCGACGATCGCGCGGGGGTCACCCCGGACCATCCTGGGGGGGGGGAAGAGACGGAGTGGGTGAGAGCCACGGGCCCGTTCTGCCCCATATCCACCCCCCCCACACGCCGCTCTCCGATGGGTTCACCGGTCCCCACCTACCTGTTGCGCGGTTTGTTGAGGTAGCCGCCCTGCCCCCGGAAGGTGTCATAATTACCACGGCCGGCGGCGTAGGGGGCGTGAGGGTAGGGGGGGCCGCCTGTGGGAGGGACAGACGGACATGTGTCAGCAGAGAAAACTCAGCACAATCTTCTTACCCAGGGACCCCTCGCCCGGCGCTGAGATGCGGCCACTTCTGGGGTGGGGAACCCCTTGCCCAACACTCAATCCCCACCCCGCTCCCAGCAGGAAGGGGCATCCCCTACTGAACTCCGCATCCCAACTTACCACCGTATCCCATAATAGGCGGGCGGGGCTGTCCGTACGGCATCAGCCCCTGGGGTGTCTGGTGTGGGTAGGGCAGCCCAGGGGTGAGACCTGGAAGGAGGGGAAGAAAGGAAGGGCAGAGATGTAAGACACTGGGGTCCCAGCCCCCGCTCCCCTCCCAGAGCTGGGGAGAGAACCCAGGCATCCTGGCTCCCAGACCCCCTGCTCTAACCCACCAGCCCCACTCCCCTCCCAGAGCCGGGGAGAGAACCCAGGCATCCGGGCTCCCAGCCCCCTCTGCTCTAACCCACCAGCCCCACTCCCCTCCCAGAGCTGGGGAGAGAACCCAGGAGCCCTGGCTTCCCCTGCTCTAACCACCAGCCCCCACTCCCCTGCTGGAGCCGGGGAGAGAACCCAGGAGTCCTGGCTCCCAGCCCCCCCTGCTCTAACCCACCAGCCCCCACTCCCCTCCCAGAGCCGGGGAGAGAACCCAGGAGTCCTGGCTCCCAGCCCCCCTGCTCTACCCACCAGTCCCCACTCCCCTCCCAGAGCCGGGGAGAGAACCCAGGAGTCCTGGCTCCCAGCCCCCTTGCTTTCACTCCCCCATACAGCGAAGACCAGGGTTCCCGTGTGAGACCCAGAAGGGCAGATGGGCCCCGAACCCCAGGGGCACAACACCCCCCCACCCACCATCTCCCGGGGGGGCGCCGCGTACCCTGCCCGGGTCCGGGGGGCTGGTTGGGTTTAATCTCGGGCAGCGCCGGGCGCTTGGCGTCCATGAGGAAGCTGTTGAAGAATGACACCTCCTTCTTCACCTCCTCGATCTTCTCGGCGTGCTTGTTGAAGATGTGTTTGCGCACGAACTCGGGGCCCTGCCGGGGAGGGGGCGGAGACAGGGGTGAGTTGGGGAAACCGAGGAAGGGGGAGTCCCTCACCCCCCCCGGTTCCCGCACACACACCTTGAATTTCTTGCCGCTGAGCGGGCACAGCCACTTGTCCTTGCCCAGCTCCTGGGTGTTGGCCGTGACGAACTTCTCCACCTCCTGCTCGGGGTCCTTCTTGCCCATCTTCTGGGCCTCCTCGTCCGACAGCGACTCCCGCACGGTGGAGAGCGGGGCCAGCTTCTCCTCGAAAGTCTTCTGCCACTCGGCCACTGCAGAGGGGACCCAGGAGTCCTGAGCGCCGGCCCCCCCGGCTCGAACCGCTAGCCCCCGCTGCCCTCCCAGAGCCAGGGGGAACCCAGGAGTCCTGGCTCCCAGCCCCTCCTGCTCTAACCCACCAGCCTCCACTCCCCTCCCAGAGCTGGGGAGAGAACCCAGGAGTCCTGGCTCCCAGTCCCCCTGCTCTAACCCACCAGCCCCCACTCCCCTCTCAGAGCTGGGGAGAGAACCCAGGAGTCTGGGCTCCCAGCCCCTGCTGCTCTGACCCAGCAGCCCCCACTCCCCTCCCCAGTTGGGGGGAACCCAGGCGTCTGGCGGTACCTTCCCCGTGGCTGACACGGTTGGGGGGCATGGGCCCGCGCACGTGGATGATCCCGCAGCGGTTCGGCATCTCGTCCTCATTGAGATACTCCGAGGTGTTGTAATAATCCACCGAGTGCACGATCCGCAGGTAGAGCAGCAGCTTGTCCAGCACCTGGGGGCACCGGGGAGGGGGGGTCAGGTGCGGAGCAGGGCCCGCGCCCCATGGAGGGGACAGGCCCCTGCCCCCCTGAGCCAGCCAGTCCCCGCCCTGGGGCCAGGTGGGAGCCAGCGCCCCATGGAGGGGACAGGCCCCCGCCCCCCTGAGCCAGCCAGTCCCCGCCCTGGGGCCAGGTGGGAGCCGGCGCCCCCCAGAGGGGACAGGCCCCTGCCCCATTCCCCACCCCCCTCACCTTGATGAGCTTCTCGTCCCTCTCCACGTTGATCTCGGCCGGGTTCCCCTCCTTGGGGGGCTCGTCGGCCGCCTCCCCCGTCTTGCCCAGCAGCTCCTCCTCCTCGGCACTCACCTCCTCGATCAGGTAGTCCGTGATGTTCTTCAGGATGGGGTTCTGGGAGGGCAGGCTCTGGGGGGCGGGGGGACACGGGACAGGTGAGCAAAGGGGGGACCTCCCAGGAGCTCATGGGGCACGGCTCCCTCTTTAGCCGCCTCCCAGAAGCCTGTGGGGCGGAGCTCCCTGTTTAGCCACCTCCCAGAAACCTTTGGGGTGGGGCTCCCTCTTCAGCCACCTCCCAGAAGCCTGTGGGGCCATCCGGGAAGGCGGCGGGGGAGGGGGGATAGACAGTCCCCATGGCCGTAGATCACGCCCCCAGAATCCTTTGCAGGATCTTCATGGGATGCCGCGGTGTGAGGGGGAAGGCTGGTGGGAAGCCGTGGGGCAGAGGCGTGACCCCCCCCCCCGGATACTGACCGAGACCTGGGGGGCCTCACGGGGCTCCCCCGCCCCCCACAGCTGGGTGCGGTCGTCCAGGGTGTGGATGAGTTTGGCCGCCAGCTTGATGTCGTTGCGGACGATCTGCTTGTGCTGCGTGATGCCGTTGATGTTGCGGACGCGGCGGGTCAGGTCGCGGTTCACGCCGGGGCTCAGCTCGCACTCCCGCAGCTGGGGGGGGGGGGGGGGGGAGACTGAGCTGAGATGCGGCCACCTCTGGGGCGGGGCAGCCGGTTATCCAGGGACCCCTCGCCCGGCGCTGAGAGGCAGCCACCTCTGGGGCGGCTGGTTACACAGGAACCCCTCGCCCAGCGCTGAGAGGCAGCCACCTCTGGGGCGGGGCGGCCGGTTACCCAGGGACCCCTTGCCCGGCATGGAGATGCACCCCCCAAATCTCCACTCAGGGGCGCAGCTTCCAACACCCCCCACCTGCCCCCCCGCGCCGCAGCCTTACACGGATGTTCTGCAGGCTCCAGCAGATCTCCTTGATGTTCACGCTCCGGTTGAAAGTCACCCAGCCCCTGCGGAAAAACCTGACGCACACGCCCGGCGTTAGCACCCGGGAACACGGGACCCCCCCGCAGTGCCCGCCTCTGCCTGGTTTCGCCCCGCCCCCCCCGGCGGATGCCACTTACCTCCTCTCGGGCTGGGGGTCGGACAGGGCCACGCGCATGAAGCCGGGATACCGCTTGCAGAGCTGGGGGGACAGAGAGATCGGGGGGGTGTTAGGAAGGGGACTGGATCTATGCTCTCCCCGCCGCCGCCCCCCCAGAATATCAGCCCCCCCCGCTCACCGCCACGATCTCGGCCTGGGAGATGTTGGGGGCAATGTTGCGCATGAACAGGGAGCAAGTCTTGTGGAGGGGGCGGGGTTTGCACTCCAAGCCGTCCTTCTCCTTGGCCTTCGTCGTCGCCGCCGCCTCGTCCTCTTCCTCCTTCGCCTTCTTCTCCTCCTTGGGCTTCTCCTCTGCACCCCGCGCCACAGAGTTAGGGGGGGCCGGCCTGTGTCCCGTTCCCTGCCCCCCCCCCCCCCCCCCCCCCCCCCCGCCCCTGCCTCATATCCCGTTCTCCCCCCCCCCGAGCTAGCCAGTCCCTGCCCCATATCCCGTTCTCTGCCCCCCTGAGCCAGCCAGCCCCTACCCCACATCCCGATCCCCGCCTCCCTGAGTGAGCCAGTCCCCGCCCCACATCCCAATCCCCGCCTCCCTGAGCGAGCCAGTCCCCGCCCCATATCCCATTCCCCCACCCCCCCGAGCCAGCCAGGCCCTGCCCCATATCCCGTTCCCAGCCCCCCTGAGCCAGCCAGTCACCGCCCTGGGGCCGGATGGGAGTCGGCGCCCCCTATTCCCCGCCCCCCGAGCTAGCCAGTCCCCGCCCTGAGGAGGAGCCGGCGCCCCCTAGAGGGGACAGGCCCCTGCCCCATTCCCCGCCCCCCTGAGCCAGCCAGTCCCCGCCCCAGGGAGGAGCCAGCGCCCCCTAGAGGGGACAGGCCCGTGTCTCTCACCCTCCTTGTCCTCGGCACGGCCGCTCTCGGACTCTGTCTCGGACTCGGAGACGCTCCCCTCGTCGTAGCTGTCGTCCCCGCTGCGCTTCCGCTTGCGCTTCTTGCTGGCCTGAAAGGAGAAGGCCCGGTGAGCAGGAAAGGGGCGGAGCCTGCAGAAGGGGAGCGGGGCCTGCAAAAAGGGGGGCGCACAGGGGAGGCAGGGACTGGCATGAAGGGCACGGGACTGAGGATAAATGGGCGGGGCCAGTCAAGAGGGGGAGGAGCAAAGGGGACCGGGATGGGGTGGGGCTTAGGACCCACCTTTTTGGCCTCTTTCTCTGCTTCTTCCTCCTTCTTCGGCTTCTCCTCTTCCTCCTCGGAGGACTTCTTGGCTTTCTCCTCCACCGGCTCGTCGCCGTCAGCCTGGGGGAGCGGGGGGCACCCGTCAGAGACTCTGCACGTCCCCAACAAGCCGGCCCTCCGCCCCAAGGGACCTCACCTGCCTCCCCGCCCCCCCCCCCAAGGTGACAGGATAACGGCTCTCTACCCGGCTCCTTTGGATAGCACCCATCACCCCAGCGCCTGGGCGAGCGGGCCCGGCGGGGAAACTGAGGCACGGGCAGAGCCGGGATGCGTCGGCTCCCCTGACCTTTTTGCCTTCCTCCTTCTTGTCCTCTTTGTCCGAGCCCTTGCGGTCGGCGTCGGACAGCCGGGCCTCGTCCTTCTTCCCCGGCTCAGCCTTGTCCTGCCTCTCCTCCTCTTCCTCCTGATCCAGGATCTTCAAGTCGTTCTCCGTGCCTCCCTCCATCTTGATAACGGCTGGAGAAGAAAAAGAAGAAAAAAAAAATTGGTGTGGGTCAGTCTGGGGTCGTCGGCGCGGCTCAGAGGGGACCCCCTGCCCACCACGGCCGGGACCGCCCCCCGGCCCGCCACAGCCAAGTTGCTTCCCAATAAGAGAAAAGAAACGGTGGATAAAAGAGCTACTACTGCTGTCGCCAGGGGAGGATCTCCCTTCAGCTCCAGCGGTAGAGGCGCCTGTCTTCGGACTCCACGGTCGGGCGTTTTGGATCCCTAGACGGATGGGGTCTTTGGATCCGAACAACGTGGGTTTCGGGGCTTCCCCCCCCCCCCCGATATCTTCGGAACCAAAGCCCGCCCATTCCAGGCCCCCCTTACCGGCGTCCAGCATCTTGATGATCGCGTTGGCCTTGTCGATATCCAGCTGCAAGCTCTCAAACCAGCCGTTGTCCATGAGGTAGAGGAAGACGCTGAGCCGGTTCTGCAGGGCGCCGTGGGCCTCCTGCTTCCTCTTCCCCGCTTCGTCCGGGTGGTACTTGGAGCGAAACCTTCGGGAAGGGCGGGGGGAAAAGGCAGATGAGGAAAGATCAGAACGGGGCGCAGTGGAGAGAAGACGCCTCTAAAGGAGCTGCACATGCAGGTTGCATTGGAAAAAATTCGGGGTGGGAGGACAGGGGGGAAGCAGGGACAAGCCCCCGCCCCGGATCTTATTTATTGACGATTCGCGCCGGACACTGGTGAGGAAAAAATGAGATTTCGCCACATCAGGGTTTTTTTGTAGCTACGCTCTAAGTTTGCTCCCGGGCACGTTTGATGGCCAAGTGCCTGGCGGATGACGTTCAAATTGGTTCCTCGCTCGGACTGCAATCAAGCCGAGAGCGGGTCGGGTCGGGGGGGGGGGGGGGGGGGAGGGGTCGGAGGTCTGGGTTCGCTCCCCAGCTCTGGGAGGGGAGCTGGGACTCCTGGGTTCTCCCCCCTGCTGTTTAGACAGGGAGCTCTTTGTGTCAACAATACCGGATCCCAGTTGGGATCGATTACCCATCGCTCTGCGGGGCAGAACGGGAGGCCAGATCCCCGCCGGAAGCCCTTGGACCCGGAACCTGTTCTTCGCTCCACTGCTAATCTCACGCCAATTGCTTCCCCTAGCCTTTGGCTAGCTGGAGGACATGGTCTTTGGGCCAGCGAATCTAGGTGACCCCTGGCTGGTCCCTAACACTTCCCACCTGTAGATTCAGTGTCCGGTCCAAACCGGGGGCTCAGATCTTGGTCGGGGGGGTGGGGGGAAGCTCTAAGGCCAACCGTAACACCAGAGTTTTACCGCTATTTAGGTGCCTAACTCCCCTGGGTCTCCATGGGAATCAAGACGCCTAAATTCCTTGAAAGAAACCAAGATTCAGGGCCGGAATTTAAGGGTTGGCTTGTTTTCGAGCTGGTTTTCAAAGGGCAGGGGGGAATCAAGACCCCCCATTCCCACCTCGGGGGAGCCGATTGTTTTCTCGTACTGTATTTGTTTTTTGTCTTTTTTTTAAAAGAGTTGAGGTCCGATCGAATAAGACAGAACGTGTGTCATACATACACTCAGGATCAACTCCAGCTTTTTCCGATGGGAGCCTGAGAGATTCCTTCGGTGGGTTTTTAACCACTGGGCGCTTTGTTTTGGCTACGGAGTGGCGGGCACTCGCTCTCTCTCGCCGGGCGGTTTAGTTAACCGAAAACAAAACAAAAAAATCCCGGCTCGGGTGGGTTTGTGGTTTTTTTCCGCGGCTCTGGCTATCTGATTCCTGACCATTGTACATTCAGCTAGGCACTGCATTGTGCTCAGTGCTCGGCCCTGGCTATCTAGCTAAAAAAAAGAAAAAAATCACGGGCGAGAGAGAGAAGCCGGAAGAAAAAACCAAAAAAAATCAAGAGATTTAGATTCTCCAGGCTGACGGCAAAAGTGACTTCTGATTTTGAATTCTCTTGATTCTGGCACTTGGGAGGAGGGGAGAAAAGGGTCAGTTAACAGTTATCAGCCACACACACCCAAAAAAAAAAAAAAAAAAAAAAA